CGCTGCCGCTCACCCTCTCATCCGTCAACGCCGGCGGCTGGGCGCCCCGCAAGGACCACGCGAGCGGCCGCCTCGTGCGCGGCGCGCTGCAGCTGCCGCCCGGGGCGCTGCTGCTGCTGGACGAGACGGGGCTGGGGGCGGGTGCGATCGGGGAGGCGGGGGTGCGCAGCCTGCAGGCGCTGGGGCGGGTGCTGGCGGACCAGCAGCTGCCCGTCGACTTCCAGTTCTACCAGGTGGGGGGAGTGGGGCGGGAGTGTTGTGGGGAGGAAGGAGTGGGGGGCGAGGGGTTGAATCACATCAAGGTGGGGCGACCAAAGAGAGGGTTTGGTGAAGCAGGCAGCGCCGCGGGCGCATTTGGCAGGGCCGTGTGGGCAGAGGAGGCAAGGGCGGTGCGAGAACCTTTGATGCTCGGGGGCAGGAATTCGCCTCGCACACAGCCAGACGACCCCCCTGGCGCACCACACCCCTCCACCCAGTCAAAGTCACCCACATCCTGCCTCTCTCCCACCACCCGGCCCCAACACCAGGCGGACTACCCCGTCGATGTGGCGGTCGTGACCGTCAGCCGCGGCCGCTCCCTCCTGCGGGACTCCCACCACATCGTCCTGCCCCTAGCGCCGCAGCCCGCCGCCGCGGCGCCCCCCGACGCGGCCGGCGGCGCGCCCCCCGCGGCAGCCGCCGCGCCCGCCCTGTGTGCTGCTGAGCTGGAGGGTGTGCGCGACTATCTGGCGTTCGCGCGCTGCCTGCAGTGCCAGCTGGACGAGGCGGCGGCGGAGCGGCTGGCGGCGGCGTTTGGGGAGGCGGCGCGGGCGGAGCCGGGGTTCAGCATGGAGCGCTTCAACACCTGCGTCACGGTGCGCACACGCGCCCGCGTGCATGTGGGGGCCGTGCATTTCATGCATCCTGGTTGGCTGTGTTGGGTGTCTGGATTGCGCTGGAGTCTGGGTGTGGATGCGTTGGGGTCATTTGCATGGGGCTAGGGGTTGCTGTGAAAGCATCTGTGCGCTGCTTGAGACGTCTTGGCCCGTGGGCACAGAGCTGCATGCGGCGGATGCAGGGGGCGGTGACGCGCAGGCCGCGGGCGCTGCGCGCCCCGCGCCGTTGCATGCCAACCCCTCCGACACCCCCCCCCAAAACACACACATACACACACCGCCCGCGTCCGCGCACACACAACTTCCAGTGCACGCGCTCCAACAAAGCAACCATTCCCGTACTTTTGCCGCACCCTCGCAAGTGCACGCCGGCTGCGCCCCATCTATTTCTATGCTCGCTCCACCCACCCCACATCCCCCCCCCCCCTTGCGACCCGATGCCCTCCCTCCACCCTCAGCTCGCCAAGCTGTTGTCGCTGTCTGCTGGCCGCGACCGCTTTGACATGTCCTCGTGGGACCGCGCCATGGAGCTGGAGGCGCGCAGGAGGGAGCGCGTCGCCGCCACAATGCCGCCCGCGCCCGCGCCCGCTACCGCGGCCGCGCCTCAGGCGGCGCCTGCGGGCGCTGTGGCGCTGTGAAGAGGCAGCATGTGCTGCTTTGGGGGGGGCCCTGGCGCTGCGTTGGCGCTGGTGGCAGCAGCGAGGGGGCTGGGTCAGCCCGACAGGCGGGCTTGTACAGGGCTTGGACAGCTGAGCAGACTTTGAGGGTACGGGGACGCAACCAAGCAGATTAGGTTAGATCACCTTCATGCCGGCGCAGCATGTGGCTGCCAGCTGTCTCCTTGGGATCGGCGCAACCAGCGGCTGATTGGGTTTGCGCTGGTTTGTTTCAAGACCACTGCGACTGCCACAGTCTGTTGGGGAATTTTTGCACTGTGTCTGCAGCTTCAGAGCCACCTTGACTAAGCCCAGTGTTTTGTAACACAAGAATTTGCGCCTGCCTGACGCTGCACTGATGCCGCATCCCTCAAGCATGAATGTATGGGGAGTGCCATGTGCGAGCGGCGGGTGGTGCCATGTGACAGAGCCCCTGCGGGGGCATCACGCCTCAATAGATTCGGCCGTCGCCATCGCTGGCCTGGGCTGGAGGCAGCCCAACAGGCAGCGGCGCCCCGACAGCGCAGCCTGCAGGGAGGAGGAGGAGCGCCCCACCGGCTGCCAAGTGGCGAAGCAGCTGCAAGGCCGAACGGCCAGATGATTGCGGCGTCTGAGGGGCGGCTCCCGTGCTCATTCAGGTTCAAGCAGGGAGCATCGCCCCGCGAAGAACCGCAAGTAAAGGAAGCATGCACACGCGCCGCCCTTCCGACATAAAGGCAGCCCCTGAATCAACGCAAAAGAATTCAATGCACAGCGGGATCAAATTAGGTAGCAACAAATCGCCCATGCCGCCCGCGGCCCCGGGGTGCCGACCGCGTGGACACCGCCTTGGGGGTTGTGAGCGCACAGGAGCCCCCCGCCACGGCCCAGGACCAGGCGTCCCCTGGCTGCGCTGCGCCGCGCCGCGCCCCCGCAACAAGAGCCTTCCTGGGCCGGTCACGGCGCCGCATCCAGCGATGCCCGCGCACAGCCGGGCGCGCCGTCCCGCCGGATGCTGATGGGCACCGTCACCGGCTCGGCCATGGCATTGCCCGAGGCGTCCCTGAAAAGCACGCTGATCCCCAGGGTGCGACCGCCTGCGCCGCCGCCCGCGTCGGCGCGCACGCAGGCGCGGCCGTCGGGCAGCACCCTGCACGCGTCCGGCCCCGCGCCTGCGCCGCAGCTCGCCTGGAACTGCAGCGGGCGCTCGGGGCCGGAGCACGCGTCCTCGGCTGTCACGAGCTCTGGCAGCGGCCAGCATGCCCACTTGCCGTCGGCCGGCCCAACGCACTCCCCGCCGGCCTTCTTGGGGGCGACCCGCGGCGGCGTCGCGTCGGCGACCGTCACGTTGTGCACCGTGCAGCGCGTCACGACGCCGCTGGACAGTGACCGCGCGGTGACGGCCAGCGCGCGGGTGCCGGGTGACAGGTCCGACCCGGGTGCAAAGTCGACCTTGGCGGACGCCAGCCAGGCGGGCGGCTGCTCCATCAACTTCAGGGCCTCCTCCGGCGCCGCGCGGCACGCGTCTGGCGCCGTGACGATCGTGACGTTGCGCCCCGTGCAGCGGAAGCAGGCCTTGGCGCTGACCGTGCCGCGCCCCGTCAGCTGGCGGGTGACGCTGCCGTCAGCGACGTCGACGGTCACCGTGGCCGGGTACTTGCCGGGCTGGGTCGCGAACGTGAAGCTGCCGCCGCTACCGCTGAGCGCCACGGGCCGCCCCGTGGCCGCCACGCCGTCCGCCCACGACACGTCCCACTGCGCTGGGGCCGCTGACTGGCCGGGGAGCAGCGCAAGGGGTGTGGGCGCGAGCGTCACTGGCAGGCCGGCGCAGGAGGTCGGTGGAATCTCGAGGGTCAGGTTTGCCGTGGGCTCCACGATAAGGAGGGTAGAGAGGTAGTAGACGGTGTTGACCGAAGAGGTGCTGCCCCCGCCCGCGCCGCCGGCCGCGCCGACCACCTCTGCTCGGTACAGCCCCGGCGCCGCCGCGCCAAACGCCGCCGCGGCGCCGCCCGCGGACGAGCGCGCGAGCGGCGCCTTGTGGGCGGCGGCGGCGCGCGGCGTCAGGGGGGTGAGCCTCCAAGAGAAGGACAGCTGCCGCTGGGGGCCCGCCGCCGCGTCCAGCCCCTGCTCCGCACCCCACCCCTTTGGCAGCCCGACACCGCCGCACGAGAGCGCCAGCGGGGCAAACTCGGCACCCGAAAAGTAGCCCTGGCCGCAGCGGCCGGCTGCAAAGCCCTCGGGCGACGCCGCGGTGTAGTAATCGCTCCAGAGCGGCTTTGCCACCACCGTGATCGCCGAGGAGGCGCGCGCCACCTTGCCGCCGCCGCCAGGGGTGACCTCCAACAGCAACTCAAACGTGCCTGGCGCCGCCAGCTTGAAGCGCGCCGGCGCGCCGCAGCCATACACTTTGGCGCCACCCGCACGAGGCCCCTCCAGCGTCCAGACGCAGGCGGACCCCGCGAGCTGGTCCTGCCAGCCTGCGGCGCTGAGGTCAAACAGCCCACTGGCGGCGGCGTCGACGTCCAGCGTAGCCCCCTGGTAGAAGGTCAGGGACGGGAGCTTCGGGACGGCTGCCAGCTTGGAGCCGTAGATTGCCGGCGCCGTCGTGATTACCGAGGCCGCCGCAGCACCGCCGCCGCCCACCGCAGGCGCCGCCTCTTTGCCCGCCGGCGCGTCGGGCCGCACCGCCACCCGCGCGACCGCCTCGCTCACGCCGCCGCGGCCGTCCTCTGCTGTGATCAGCAGCTGGTAGTCGCCCGGCTGCGCCCCGGGGCCGAGGTCGACCTTGGGGCCGCTGCCGGCGCGTGTCTCGCCGGTGGACTCCTCCATGAGTGTCCACTTGAGAGCCACGCTGTCGCCGTCAGGGTCAACTACGCCGCTGACCGAGAAGCTCTCGGCTGGCGTCACGTTGTACGAGAGGCCGGCCGCAATGACGGGCGGCGAGTTGGCGGGGCCGCTGCCGCCGGCCGGGGCGGCGGGGCCGGCGCCGCCGACGCCGGCGATGGTGACAGTGCCGGGGCCGGGGGGGAGAGTGGGGCCGGAGCTGGGCGGGGCGGCGATGGTGAAGGTCTTTCGAGCCGTGGCGGTGTTGCCGGCAGAGTCGCTGACGAGCAGCCCGACCTGGGGAATTTGGTGTCAGGGTTTTGTGCCGTGCGAGGCTTCAGTTGGGCAGACAAGCGCTTTGGTTGTTGAAGAAAAAGCGTGAAGAATTAGATAGTTTTGGCCGTGCGGAAATTGCAACGGCAAAGATGCCGGCAACAACACTGGCTTCATGCTCTGCCGCCCATTCCACTGCTGGTGCGCTAGCACATGGTCTTTCTCAGCACTGTCCCTCGCCCACTCCAGCAGCTCCCTATTTCACACTTCACCACGAAACCCCCCAACTCTGCAAGCTGAGGCTGTGGATGCACCACCATTCGTCTCACCTGGTATTCCCCAGGCAGCAGCCAGACCTCGCCCTTTGGTCCCGTCGCGTTTGCCGCCGGCGTGCGCCCCGGCAGGCTCACCACCGCCCACAAAGCGTTGGCCATCCGCGCCCCTTGAGCCGAGGACGACCCGGCAGAGTCCAGCGCGACACGCGTCAGGCCGGACCCCGCCGCCTGCGGCACCAGCGGCGGCGGCAGCGAGATCGCCGCGACAGCCGCGGCGGCGGGGTCGGGGTTGCCTGGGTCGCTGCTGGCGCCGATCACAAACTCCTTGGACGCCGTAGCGTTGCCGCCACCGCTGTCCACAGCCACCATCTGGATCTGGTACTTGCCGACCGGCAGTTTCAGATAGCCAGCGTAACCGGCGACGCTGGCGACGACGCGTGAGTCGGGGATGGACACCACGCGCCAGGCAAAGTAGGTGAGGTTGCGGGCAGGCGCTGGCAGGGTGCCGTTGGCCGACATCAGGAACTGTCGCAATTGGGAAGGAGCGAGGCGGAAAAGAGAATGGGGCGATTCAAGAATGTTGCGATGGTGGCGCAGGATGCACGCTACTGCTGGCTAGTTCATGCGGCTTGTGTTCCAGACACGCGATGCCCGCAAACAACAGCACACCTCAAACGGAGCCGCGCCTGAACCGCAGCACTTGCGGCAACAACGCGCCGCCACTTTTGACCCCCCACCTGCGTCGTGTCGGCGGCGCCCGCGGGCACAAACTCTGGCGGGCTGCTGATGACCGCCGTCGTCTGCGTGACCGGCCACACCGCAAACACCTTGCTCGCCGTCGCGGATGACCCCATCAGATCCGTCACCGTGAGCTGCGCCGCGTACACGCCGGTGCGCAGCCACACGCTCGTCTGCTTGCCGCCTGTGGCCGCAACCACCAAGCCGTCTGGCAGCCGCTTGATCGACCAGGAATACATCAGGATCGGCCGCAGGGGCGCCTGCGTGCTACCCGTCGCATCCAGGGTCACCTTCCCCGTGTGGTTGCCGCCGGTCGACACCACCGCGCCAGGCTCAGCGATCGCCGCGCTCAAAACCGGCAGCCCCAGCAACGTGCTGTTGCCGGCGCCACCAGCGCCTGCGCCGGCGCCGGCCCCTGCGCCCAGAGGCTTGATGGGGCCGGAGGTGCAGTCACGCCACTCCTGGTTGGTCCACGCAGCCAGGTTCGTGAGCGGCGGCATAGACATGATGTCATAGGCGTACACACCAACACCAGTGGTCTTGTCAAAGAGGCACTGGGGTGTAAGGTTGGCGCTCGGCGTGTTGGGGGCCGTGGGCAGCGACTCAGCCATCGGTGACACCATCGCTGGCCGCCCGCCCGGGGGCGGCAGGAGAGGGCCGGCTCCAGGTGGCCGCTGCTGCTGCTGCTGCTGCTGCTGCTGCTGCTGCTGCTGCTGCTGCTGCTGCTGCTGCTGCTGCTGCTGCTGCTGCTGCTGTTGCAACGCATAATTTGGAGCCGCGGCAGCAACGACTATAGGCGGTGCTGAGTCGTCAGGTATCGCATCAACAACCCGGGTGGAGGGATCAACCGCCGATGCCTGGATGGCGGCAGTGGTGGGGCCCACTGCCGCGGTTGTGAAGGGCCCCCTGGGCTGGTAGCTGCTCAGCACCTGGGCTTGGTTTGGCGGTGCGTACAGCGGCGTGACAATGCTCGACACCTGTTGAAGGCCTTGCTGTTGCTGCCCTTGCGTCTGCCGCATGCCCATCTGGGACGGATAGATGACAGGGCGGGGGTTGATCTCTGGCCATGATGCCCTTGAGGGGTGGACCACAGAAGCCTGGCCCAGCGGCTGGGCTGTAAGAGTGGTGGCTGACAAGACGCCCTGCTGCTGCTGCTGCTGTTGCTGCTGCTGGCGGTGGCCCGGGAGCCGCAGCGTGAGCGGGCCCTGCCCCAGCACCGGCGCGCCACCAAGGGCCGGGCGGCTGACAGCAACCGCAGGGGGCAGCATCGGCGGCGCCGCCTCCGCAGCCACCTGGACGACACCACTGCCGCTGGAGCCGCCGTTGCTCGCCGCCGTCACGCCCGTCAGCGGCGGCGCGTACGACGCCGGCAGCACGAGCAGGTCTGTCTGCGTCGCGCTGACGCCGCCGCGGCCGTCGTCAACCTCCAGCGTCAGCACATACTCGCCGACACGGTTCACGGTAAAGCTCGTGTCCATGTCGTAGACCTCGGCGATCGAGTTGTCGCTGTCGGCCAGTCCGAGGGTCCAATGGAACTTCAAGGGGTCCTTGTCGGCGTCTGCGCTGCGCTCTGCACTGACCTTGACGGGCCGCCCGACGTAGCCGGTGTAGGGGCCGCCGGCGTTTGCGACGGGGATGTTGTTCTTGTGGACGACGACCAGTGTCTGCTGGGTGTGCTGGCCGTAGGGGCCGGCCACGCGCAGCATGGCCAGGTACTCGCCGCTGCCGAGGAGCACCTCGAAGGACGCGGGCTCGGGGAACGGGAGCCCCAGGTCCACAAGCTGCGTGGTGGGCCGGATCTGCGAGACGGTCCACATGTATGCGTCCGCGTTGCTGCTGTTGGAGCCGTCAAAGGTGACCGGCGTCAGCTCGCCGCTGCGCGCGCGGAGCACGGCCCCTGGGACGCCGTTGCTCAAGACCGACAGGCGCGCGATCGTTGCCGGCGGCGGCGGCGGCCGCATGGGGGGCGGCGGCGGCGACGGCGGCGGCGGGGGGCTCGGACGTGGAGGGGAGGCGTGGATGACTGTCACTGTGGGCGTGATTGACAAGGCGTTGGACAGGGGTGATACAATGACAGGCGCAGTATCGTCGTCCTCTGCGCCGGGCAGCGGCTGAACCACGATCGCCTGCGGCCGCTTCGAGTGCGGCTCAGGCGTCACCAGCGGTCGCTGCTGCGGTGGCGCTGCGGCCTTGGCGTCAGCACCGCCAGTGGTGCTGGCACTGATGGGTGTCACCACCACCAGGGGCTCCTCAGAGGGGACCTCAGCGCGACGGCCATGAGCCGCTCTGCTATCCTCGAAGCCCTTTGGGACTTGCTCGCTGGCAGGTTCGTCGCTGCCGCCGCCGCTGCTGCTGCTGCCGCCGCCGCCGCCGCCGCCGCCACTCTCGCCAAAATCCCTTGGCCGTCTGGCGCCCCACGGCACGCCAAAACCTCCGTGCCCGCCGCTCACGCCGCTTCTGGTCCTGCTCTTGCCAGTGCCGCTGCCTGATCCGCTGCCTCTGGGGCTGTTTACGCTGCTGTCTGCCCCTGCAGGCTCGTCTGCGCCGTTGTCCTGTGTGCTGGCGACTGCCTGGCTGCCGAGCGGCGTGATCAGCCCCGGGTTGTTGATGATGGGTGCCCTGCCTGCCAGACCCCCACCGAGTGGAGTCACAAGGGGCTCGCCACCGCCAGACGCGAACGCGGCTGGCTGCGAGCCGTCGTCGCTCGGTGGCAGCGGCGGCGGCGGCGGGGGGCGCTCGGCGTGGTCGTCATCGCCGTAGCCGTCAGTGTACTTGTGCGTGCTGCCGGTTGCGTGCGCATCCCCTGAATAGTCTAGGCTGGCGTCTTCGTAATGCTCTGTGTCTGGCAGGCCCGCTGGCGGCGGCGCTTCTACAGTGCTATTGCTGCCCGCAGCAGGGGCGGCGTTCTCAGCTGGGTGAGGCGTCGGTCGGCCCTTTGCGCCCCAGAGCTGAGCCTCAGCCGCCGGTGCGGTCCCTGAAGCCAGAATCACTGCTGCTAGCGTCCATCCTAGCAGCTGGCACGCTCGACGGCATGACAAACGACGCATGCGGGCCAGCCGCTGCGGGGCATCAGGTGCCCGCCGTGGTGCGCGGCTAGGGCGGCTGCCCGCAAGTTATTTGTGACTGCAGTGTTGATGTTGGCCTGTTTCATAAAACGGCGTGCGCGGAGGAGGGTGCGGGCGTCGTGGCGGTTCTCGACGGGTTGCAGGAGGGCCGCTGGGTGGCGCGGCGAGCGACGTGACACGAGATTTCTCACCAAGATGAATTATCTGAAGCTATTGATTTCCAGCTTGACTGCGGGCTCCACGCTCCGGGCCGAGCTGCTGTTATGATGATTTGCGCCTTGTGCAACCGTGGAAGTGATCATGCCAAACAAAAAGGTTTAACATATTTCAATTGTCAATAGTGCTGGGGGTATTGATCTGGTACACCACCCGGCGCTGCGCAACCATTCGCTGCGACCAATGAACCAAGCTGCTGCGCACCAACCAGCGCAAGCGGCCAAGCCCCTGTCAAAGTACTTTGCTTGCTGCCAAAAGCTCCCAGATTGTGTGAACAACAACAATGGACTCGAGACACTTCACACGATACATGTGACAATGTACAAATCCAAGACACTGGTATCTACAGCAGGGCCCTCGCCAGTGCTGCCCCTCCCAAATGCTTGCGAGCTTGCAGACCTACAAGAGCAACACCAAACCGTCCAGAGGAGATAGAAGGAAGCACGCAGTGGGCAAGCGGACTAACGCATAACCACCAACCAAAGGTGGTAAGTCGAATTGCGCAGGGCAGTGCCGGCACGCTGCTGGCTGACAGTCTTTCGCCACACTCGAGTTCTCAATAGCTGATGTACACGCCGCAGCAGCCGCGCGGCCGGCCAAACTTGAACACAGTATCCTTCACCTGCTGCTGTGCACTGTCCTGCTCTTGACCGTTCAGCACGGTGCCCAGTATGGCGTGCGTGCTAGATGGCTGTGCCTGCAGCGAAGCACTGCCCAGGCCCCGACTACGGCTGCTGGCTGCACTTCCTGCGCTCAATGCGCTGCTGCTGCTGCTGCTGCTGCTGCTGCTGTTGAAGCTGCTGCTGTTGAAGCTGCTGCTGTTGTTGTCACTCCAGTCCTGCTGCCCGTCGCTGCAGCTGCTGCCAATCGCCCCACCTTCTCTCGTGCTGCTGTGATCTGCCCTCGTGGCGCACGGCCCCCTGCTGCTGGCCCCACCACACTCCTCATTGCCTCCTGCCGCTACGCGTCCGTGGGCCGGGCGTTCTGGCAGGAACAGCACGTCGGCTACCTCGCGCCCAAAATCCTCCTCGTACACAGTCCGCAGGGGGCGCGTGCCGTCATGCAGCAGCGACCAGTGGAGGGGGCTGGCCTCTCCAACATCCAGCACGGCCAGGCGGCCCTGTGAATTGTTGGACACAAGCGCGAGAGGATAAGGCCCCGGGACTTCAGCCAAGGTCAAGCTGGAAGCTTGCCAGCAGGCGCTGTTGCAGAGTGTGTTGTGACGTCAATCCGTGTCGGGCGGCCTCCTAAAGTCACGCAATGTCTGGCCCTGACACCCCCCAATATGCCCTCACCTCGTAAAACACAATATTTCGGAGGTCCATGGCGCGCGGCTCATATTTCAAGGTGCTGTCTCGCTGGCAGTAGCCAAGCTGGTAGGGAAAGGCCACAGGGTCGAATTGCGGGTACTCGCATGCGTGGAGCAGCACGCCCAAGCCGCCGCTTCCGCCGGTCACTACCGAACTCGCCCCGCCCCCCTCAACCTCGCCATCACCACTGCTGCCGCCAGTCACAAAGAGATGGCCGTGGAACAGGTCATGGCGCGAAAGTGAGGGTGGAAGGGCGCCCAAGAGGCCACGCGATGAGCGCCAAACCACAGGGTCGGCTGCGGCAGAGAAGATAGCAGATAAGAAGCGGGCAACCTCGCCATCGCGCAGCACATGCACCCAGGGGCGTCGTGGTAGGAGGCAGCCTGGCAGTGGGAAAGTGGGCGAGCATGGGAGAGTCTGAAACGCGGTGGCCACTGCAGAACACCTCTGCAATGGGCGAGTTGAGCTGCATCGCAGCAAGGAAGTGCAAAGTTTGCACTTGGCGCAGGCGCTTGCTACTGCTGCAGTACAGCAACAATCCCACCAGCATACGGTGCATGCACGCTGCACGCTGTCTCGGCCCGAACATCCATGCATGCGGCCACCACTGCGTGGCAACCTAGGCGGCACACACCTGCGCATCCCTCTTGTGGCAGCACTACCAGCTCGGGTGCCAGCGCCTCCCGCAAACCATGCAGCCCGCGCTCGGCCACGGCGTTTGCCAGCTGCCACCATGCGGGCGGCGGCTGTGGGCATTCCAGCATGTGGATGCAATCGGCGAGTTCTGCGGCATCCGAGTGCTCAGATTTCCCGCCTGCCGCACCATGGCACACCCCGTGTGTCACGTGCACAGGCGCCTTGAGCATGGTGTGCAGAACGTCGCGCGCTGTGGCCCTGCGGCTGTGTTCAATGGCGCAGCTCTTTGACGCTGTTCGCGCCGAGTTGACGCCGGTGAGTGCAGCGACGGAAGCGACGGCAAATCGCGGCGCTGCGATATGCGAGCAGACATGACGCCATGGATGACTCCTGATTCCACATAGTTTTCGATAATGCTGCATGGTCGGCTGCTGCGTGGGCGCTTGAAAAGAGTCAGATGTAGATCAGAGACCGCTAGCAGCGCATTGATGTGTACATGGAAATCTTTTGCTAGGCCCTCGCCAACCGCGATTTCATATCATAAACCATCGCAGAATCGTTTCGCATGCGTGCTATGCTGCATGCGAACAGCAGGGGGGGGGGGCTGATCCTGGGCTCTTGTTGATGTGTTGTGCCATCAGCCCAACGTGTCCATTCTTCCACATGTTCAAACGCATGAACGACACTGTCAGCTGTACAGCATCTAGTATCGTATCTCAGGGCGTTACCAGGCCAAGACTGGGCTCGTTGTGGCCTGAATGGCTGCTGACTTGGGCGGGCGCGTTTGAAGCAAGTGCACAAGCAAGGGTGGAATGTGCACGCGATCAATCCAGTTCATCATGTCACTGCCATGCTTCTTGAACACAAGTGTTCAGGCCTCGGTTGCCCAATTATAACCATGCGACAACATGTCATTGGCGCGCAATGCGCCGCATGGTTGACTTCGGACACTAAACACAGCGCTCTGCTGTGCTCGTGTGCGCTGCGCGTCACTGGCCAACCAGCCGAATTCAAACTTCACGATCCGCAAAACATATTGTGTGATTGCGACGGTGAATGAACACAAATCACGCCAACACGAGGATTTTTCTCAAAAGTCAATTCCGCCGAAGCTGACCGTCCCTCCCGACGACCCCGGCCCTGATCCACATCCATTTTCTGGAGTTGGTGTTATTCAATCACAAGTCATACATAAAAAAGATCGCAAAGCCACCTCAGGTCTGCTCAAACATGGGGGGCTGTGCGAGCAGCAAGCTCACGGCGGGCACGCAAGAGGAGTTGATCGCACGTGAGCTTGTATTGCTGATCACGGCCTTGTGGAGCTGGGTTGCGGGGTAGAATCCGCCACACGCAATCGACAGTCTGGGCAACTGCTGCCCCATGTGAGCTTGCGGGCTCATGAGGAAGCCATATTGCACCAAACAGCGTGCGGATTTATCTGGAATGGGGGCGTCATGGGAGGCCGAGCCGCGCACCCGCCACTGACCGAGCGCTCAACGATGCTGTGACGCGGCTCGCAGCGCCCGACAAGAGCTCTTCGACGCGCGCCCGGCGGCTCTCCGTGCACATACATGCGGAGGCAAAGGTAAAAGATCCAGCACAGACCGCATCGCATGGCTCGCCTGGTGAAGTTTGAATGGAGCACGCAGCTTCTCGGTGTCACACTGTCCGACTGCCTTAGCCTCCCTTGGTCCATCCACAGGGGCAGCCACGCTCCTCCCGGAACCCTACCACAGCAATCACAGCACATGCTGGGGCTGCTCGGACGGGTGGTGGAGGCGGTGGCGGCGGCGGTGGGGGTGGCGGCGGTGGTGGTGGCCTGGATGGGAGTGGCGGCCTGGAGGGCAGCGGCGCTGCGCGCAGGGCGCCCGCGTCGCCCGCGGCTGGCGAGCAGCCCGTAACTTCCAAGCAAGTCCTGGCGCGCAACAGCGGCACGCGCTCGCGGCGGCTGTCCTTCGTCACAAACGAGGTGAGGCGCTGGCTGCATGGCTGACGTTGGGGCGCGGTCAAGAGCAGGGCGCCGCTGTTTTCGACTGGATTCCCTCGTCCCGGCGGGGCAACCATCAGTGCCATGAGATGCAGCGTTGAAGCTGCGTTGTTACTATGCGTCGAAGCGCCACACAGCGGCAGCAAGGCCTGTTGCCGTGCTATCCTAGCAGCGCGCCGTGCCGCAGACAAAGAGCGGCAACAACAGGGGTGACCGTCCGTGTGCGCTGCCAACCAGGATCCACCTCGCTCGCGGCCGCATGATAGCAACACTCCCATTGACCGACGTTTGCGGCCTGGGCTTGATCAAACAACACACCACAGAAGGATGTGATGGCCAACATGGGCAGCGGGCTCGAGGAAGACCCCTGCGGCGCCGACGGGGACGCGGCCGAGGCCGCTCACGCCCCGCCCCCATGCGGCGCGCATGCGGCGCCGCGCTCGCAGCGCGCCGTGGGCATGTCCGTCGCTTGCATGAGCCGCGCAGGCTGCGAGCCCGCCTACAAGAAGACCAATCAGGACAGCTGCTTTGCGTTTGAGAAGTTTGTCAGTGAGGAGGAGAGCCTCTTTGGCACCATGGACGGCCACGGGCCCCAGGGTGCGCCACGCATGTGTCATATGGCACTTGGTTGAACGCGCCCCGTCGTACGCATGGGGCTGTTGCGCGGCCCCCGAGCCGCGGTCTCGGCCCCGCCCTCCAAGGCAAACGGCGATCCCCCTCAGCAGCCACCCTCACGATCCGCGCCCGTCGCCCCCCAAACACCTGGCGCCCCTCCATGCACCCATCGCACCCGCCAGGCCACCTGGTGTCTGCATTCGTGAAGCAAAACCTGCCCGTCCTCCTGGCCAACCGCCTCGCGTCCGGCGCGCCCCCGCCGCGCGCCCTGGCGGAGGGCTTCCTGGAGGTTGACGCGCGGCTGGGGGCCAGCCGCGTCGACGTGGAGTTCAGCGGCTCAACATGCGTGGTCGCACACGTTCGGGTGCGCGCGGAGGCGGGGCGGGTTGGAGGGCACTTTTCGGAGGGCGGCCCGGGCGGCCCGGCGGCCCGGCGTGGGCACGGGTGCAAGGCGCCCGCGATCCTCTGGGGTTGTGGGGCGGCCTGCGCGCGATCTGGCGGCGGTGAATCACCACATCGCCCCTCACATGAGGCTCCCGCACCTGAGACCACCCCATTGGGTGCACCCTCCTCCCGGCGGCGGCATCCTCCCTCCCTCTGCGCGGCCGCCGCCCCCGCAGGGCTTCCAGCTGACCACGGCCTGGGTGGGCGACTCGCGCTGCGTGCTGGGCCGCGCGGCGCCGTCTGGCGGGCGCCTGGAGGCGGTGGAGCTGACCGCGGACCACAAGCCCACCAACCCGCGGGAGAAGGAGCGCATCCTGCGCAGCCAGGGGCGCGTGGAGAGGTGCGGCCGCAGACTCCCCGGCCGCGTGCCGGCCCGCGCGCTCCCGATGCGGCATGCAATCGCGCCACTGCCGGCAGCAGCGCTGCCCTCTTGCTCGCGGCGGCTTTAAGGGGGGCCTGCGGAAACCCCTGCGCAAAACCCGATTCGTCGTTGACGACACGCCCACCCCCCCCTCATCCCATAAAGGCTGGTGGACGAGGCGGGCGCGCCAGTGGGCCCCTTCCGCGTGTGGCTGCAGTACGCCTGGGTGCCCGGCCTGGCCATGAGCCGCGCGCTGGGGGACCAGCTGGCGCACCAGGTGTGCTGCCTCCCACCCTGCTGCCTGCGCCTCACTCTCGTGTTGCTCGTTCGTGGATGCTGGGGCCGGAGAGGGCTGCGGCAGCATCCTTGCTTGGGGCGTCACGATTCACGCTGCACAATCTTTCATGGGGGCGCAGCCGGAGCGCCTCCGGCAGCCCAAGGGTCGGCTGCTCTCCTGCGACCTGGCCGGCCTCGCTGCGCGCCACGCCTTCACGCGCGGCATTGCACTCTGCAACCCCAGGTGGGGGTGTCGTCTGAGCCAGAGTGCTGCGAGCTGACGCTGACACCTCGTGACGTGTTCATCGTGCTGGCCTCGGGTGAGCTGGAAACCCTGGGCCCGCCTGCTAGCCAGCCGGAAAGGGGCGGGGCGCGCGGCGAACGCAATACACGACTGCCGGAGAAATATTCTGAAGAAGAATGAAGCAGCTGCTCTGCTTCGACCGCTGGGGGCTGCCTGCTGGACCCTGCTGCTACCCTGTCCCTGCCTGTGGGAGCCGCTACGTATGGCTGGGTCCTTGCTGCTCCCTCAGACGGCGTGTGGGAATTTGTCAGCAGCCAGGAGGCGGTGGACATTGTGGGCCGCCACGAGAGCACAGAGGAGGCGTGCCGCGCGGTAAGAGGCCGGCCGCAGGCGCTGCGGATGTTGTTCGACATCCCCGAGCCGGCTACGTGCAGCCGGATGCCCGCCTTTGCACTTGTGCAGCTTGGAGCACTGACCTGCGATTGCGTGTCATGCGTGCCGCACCCGCCCTGGCTGACCCCTGAACCCGTACCCCTCAACTCCTGCTTGCTC